CTTAAAGAGTACGTAATGATAAACAGACACAAAATACCAAAATGTACGTGTAATTCTCCAGAATAGGTAAGGTGTTAGCAAGTAAGACTACAGAAATCAGATCAGGGTAATTACAATTGTAGTGTCAATAAACTGCATACTGTTCACATATTCGTTTCGTTATTAATTATTATTATTGTTCTGATCGTCCCTGACCTCTGGCTGTTGAGGTCAGCGCGTCAATGAATGAGGAATTATTGTTATTGTTCTCGTAATTATTATCTAACTGGTGCAGGGTCTTTCTTGAGAAGATAATAGTCGCTCAGCTGGTGAAGAAAATACCGACTTTTATGGAACACGAAATTTAAATATCACGCTCGTAAGACCCCCCCTTCCCCATGAGGCAAATCAAGCCACTGCATTTTTTGTTCTTGTTTGACCTAACAATGAATAAATGGATTGACAGTTTGCAATATTACATAGCGAAGAACTTAATGACTTTTTAAAGTCGCATAGTCTTCTTTTGTAGGTAACGCGGTAGCGTAGTTGGTTGAGGCACTATGCTACAAGCCGGAAAGTATCGGGTTCGAGTCCTTATGAGGTCGCTGGATTATTTAATTGACCTAATCCTAGCCGCACTATGGCGCTGGGGTCGATTAAGCCTCTAACATAAATGAGTACCAGGAATCTTCCTTAGGGCTAAAGGGCGGCTGGCGCGTAAGGCTGACAACCTTACTGCCATCTGTGAGCCGACTGTCTAAAGAAAATGTGGGAGCCTCGACGTCTCACAACCCTACGGGCCTTCACGGCCGGTTACAGGGATAGCTTCACCTTTTCTTGCCTTCATTGTATTCTTTTTTGGTCTATTTAATAACGCTATCAATATCTTGGCTATACATGTTTTTGGGATGGTGAAATATGCAGAAGCCTCTAAGAGGGGTTGAGAGTCTGGCGAGAATGTACGAGAAGACCGGTGAGGAATCAGGATAATATTAAGGTGGATCTTACGGAGAGATCGTGTTCAGACTGATGTTAACGGTGTTGAACCTTTGGGTTCAGATACCATAGTGTTTCTTTCTTTTAGTTTCTGTGTCTTCTTCTTCTTCTTCTTCTTCGCCGTCACAATATATTTCCCTCTCTGGCAGTCAAGTTACATGCACACTTATGTGAGAACGATGGAATTACATTTTTTTTAGAAAACAATAAACTGACGTTTCGCATTAAAAACATGCCCTGAATTTACATTTCTACAGTCCATTATTTTAACTCTTTAAAGACCGAATTTTTTTATTAATATTATGTGTATGAGCAGTTTGTACGTCACAGAAAACACATTACGCCTCTGCTATAAATACAAACTACGTAGTTAATTTTCTTTAGCGAAAAACAAAACTCTCTTCATTGTGAGAATCATACGAAACACACAAATATACTGCGGGTAGAATTATTCAGGGTTTTAATATGACAACGCAGATGGTAACGCATAATAACCACTGTGCTTTAAAGGGTTAATAACAGATGTTTTCTTCTAACTTGGGCGTTTCATGATAAAATATACTGTTACGGTTGCATACCGTCGCAGAAATTATTATTATATTTCTATTATTATTATTATTATTATTATTATTATTATTATTATTATTATT